CATCCCTTGTTCTCATGCCCCTCCCAGCTCTGACATCCCTTGTTCTCCTACCCCTCCCAGCTCTGATATCCCCTGTTCTCCTTCCCCTCTAAGCTCTGATATCCCTTGTTCTCATACCCCTCCCAGCTCTGACATTCCCTGTTCTAAGGGCCCTCCCAGCTCTGACTGTCTGTGGTTCCATGAAGTTGGGGAGATGAGATGATCACATAAAAGTAACAGAAAGCAATTCCCCGCAGCCCCCCCATTAGGTGCTGAGCTCCTTGCCTCTGCCTCTGCCCCTTGGCTGGCGGGCAGGATTCATGGCCAAGAAGGACAGGAGCTGCAGATCCCATCCAGTCTGAGCCCCATTCAAATAAATAAAGCAGGGCATCCTTAAGGAGCAACCGGAGAAAACTAAATACAAAAGAAAGGACGGTGATTTATCCCAGACCTTTTCTCTGTGAATCTCTTTGAAAAAGAGGGGCCCTCTCCTTGCAGGCAGGTGGTACAGGTAACTGCTGGACTGAGAGCCAGGAAGACCTCCCGGGTCAACTTAATCCTAGAGCCCTCCAGAAGGAGGTTATTTCCATCCATCACTTCTGTAACCCACTTGTCCAGAACTGTTTGCTTGTCGGCTCCCCTACTGGACATGAGCTCCTCAGGGGCAGGGATGGTCTTTTGCCTTTCTCTATCTACCCCCAGCGCTTTTGCACAGTGTCCAGCACACAGTAGGTACTTAATAAATTTTTTTTTTTTTTTTAGTGAGGCAACTGGGGCTAAGTGACTTGCCCAGAGTCACACAGCTAGGAAGTAGTATGTGTGTGAGGCCAGATTTGAATTCAGGTCCTCCTGACTCCAGGGCCAGTGCTCTATCCACTGCGCTGCCCCCTACTTAATAAAACATTAAAGGATCCTGGGAAATTCAGTTAACCTCTCCTCACCTTCAGTTTCCTCATCTGTATAATGAGTATGATAATGGCACCTACCTCACAGAGTGGTTGTGAGTGTCAAATGAGAATGTATACATGAAACATCTTACAAACCTCACAGTACTAGATAAATTATAATGAAGAGGGTGCTGATTACAATCTGTCCAGTGGTCCATACCACCTCCCACCCCTTTCCACTTCTTCCTCTGGAAACTACAGGAGCCGCCTCCCTGGGACTTCCCCAACCACCGCCCCTGCCCCCACCCCCTCCATTGCGGGGTAAGCTCCCTGAGGACATGGATGGTCTTGCTTTTTGTATCTGTGCTCTTGTCTAAAAGCCTGCTATTAATTTATCCTAAGATCTTATGACCTCTCAGCAGCACAAAGGTGAGTCCAGGGAGAGACAATCTGTTGTCTGAGCACCATTCTGGTCAGGCTGCCAAGAATCTGACAACTAGGTTGGCCAAGTCAACAAGCATTTATTAAGTGCCTACAATGTGCCAGGCACAGACCCTAGGGGATGAGTCTTTGGACCACCATAACTCTTGAAGACCATTGGCTAAGTTCTAGAGGGGGCGCCATCTACATTGGAAGGGACAGCCCAGAGAGACAAACTGGAGGATCCTTGAAGCGTGAAGACAACTGTTCCCATGCCCATCTGGCCTAAAGGTTTGCAAAGTATCAAGTATCTATCAAGCTCTTACTATGTGCCAGGCACTGTGCCAGAAAGGCAAAAAGTGACTGATGGATCAGCCCATTTTGCAGGATGAGAAAACCCACCAACCTGCCCCGCCCCAAGGCAGCCTACTCCTCCTTTCTCCTAATTACCTCTTTGTAACCTAGGGGATCAGACCTGAGTTCAAATCCAGCCTCAGACACATGACACTTGCTAGGTGTGTGACCCCTGGGCAAGCCACTTGGCCTTGATTGCCTTACGTAAAAAAAAAAAAATTAAATTAAAAAAATTTTTTTAAAAACTTTAAAAATTTAAAAGAAATTTAGACCTGGAAGGGACCTTAGAGGTCATCTACTCCAGCCTCCTTATATTTACAGATGAGGACAAAGAGGCACAGAGCAGTTAAGTGACTCCCAAGGTCACATAGGTAGTAAATGGTAGAGCCAGGATTTGAACCCAGGTCTTCCATCTCTAAATCTAGTGTTCTTTCCACTGGCTGCCAAGAAAGGGAAGACCCTTTATGGTATATTCCCCCTTTTTTCAAGGCAGTAGATAGAGCACCGAGTCTGGAGTCATGTAGGCTCATCTTGCTGAATTCAAATCCAGCCTCAGACACTTCCTAGCTGGGTGACCCTGGGCAAGTCACTTAGCCCTGTTTGCCTCAGTTTCCCCATCTGTAAAATGAGCTGGAAAAGGAAATGGCAAACCACTTCAGTATCTCTGCCAAGCCACAAAGACTCAACAACATCAACCCCACAAGGAACTCTAGGTTAGGGAAGGGACCCTTCATGTAAGCTGATGAGGCAGCAAAGCTCAGCCATGTGGGTCAGACCAGGATGGTGCTATTCCTGGAAACGCAGGAATTCCCAGGATCTGCTGATGGAGCTGACTCATATGGTGAGCCAACCCTGTGACCAGTCCCACTTCCTGCCCCACCACAGGCAAGAACATAAAGTGTAACAGAGACAAGTCGACTTATCTCCAACCTTGCCAAGGGAAAGGCAGAGGCCCAAGGTCACGGGGAGAGCCTGGGACGGAGCCGAGGCAGCCAGGAGAAGGGGCGGCCCTGCCCGGCCTCTCGTTCCGAGGGATGCTCTGCCAGCACCATCTGCTCCTGGGGCAAAACAGTTTGTCTCCAGTGGCTGCCTGCCTTCACCAGAGCCCACCGGCTCTCCAGCCAGCTAGCTCTCTTCTCCCCTGCTCACCTGAGACACACATACCTTAGCCCTGAGCACTTTTCTGGAGCAAAGAGAAGGCAAAGTGAGCCTTTCAAAATGAGGCTGCGGAAACCTCCTTCTAACCACCCAGGAAAAGAAAAGGGAGCGGAGCAGGGGGTGGAGCATGGCTCTCCTAGCTAATTAAACACACCTCCTGCCAGGCCCCTCTCTTATCACTAACGGTGCCCCTCCCTTCAGCACCCATTCCTCCCTGGAAGGGACAGGCCCAGTTTTAGATTCACAAGAAGCCAGAAGCAGAATTCTGCCAATTCCTTCTAAGGAGAACATTTCAGCTCCCTTCCCACCCCTCCCTCCCCCAGAACTGGAATGCACTCCCTCCTCGCCTGGGTCACAAGCTCAGATCAAGCAATGCCTCAAAGGCCACCCTGACCCTCCAGGTACTAGGGCCTCCTCATAAAGTGACCTTGGTGGTGCAGCACTGTTATTCTGCCTTACACATTTACTAAGCTAGACAACCCTGGGCAAGCCACTTAACCTCTGGGCCTCAGTTTCCTCAGCTTTAAAATAGGGATAACAGGACCTCATCTCCCAGGGTTATTGTAAGGATCAATAAGTTAATATCTGTTAAGCATTTAGACAGAAATATATGATAAATATGTAATGATATAATGTAATATGAAATAAATATATAATAATAGAATGTAGAATGTAATAGAATAGAATAAATCTATATTTTGCAACAATATGTAATATAAAATATACAATACAATGCAATATAATAAATGTAATATATAAATATATAATAACATACAAATATACAATAATATAATGTAATAAGTGATATAATAAATGTGCAATGTAATATAATGTATAATAAATAAGAAATACAATATAAAATGTAATAAATATATAATGTGATATAATAAATGTACAATATCATATGTTTGTATGATAAATATATAATGATAGGGTATGATATAGTAAATATAGTAATTAATTTGATACATAATAACTATAATGATAGGATGTAATATAATAAATATACTAAAAGTATTCTATAAATGCTAGCTATTGTTATTTTGCACACACTTATAGGTGTACATGTATCATTTCCCCTGATGGAATGTGAGCTCCTTGAAGGTAACTATTAATTCTTTTCTTTTTTTCTTGTAGCCCCAGCTCCTGGGCCAGAGCTTGGCAAATAGTTGGTGCTTAATAACTGCTTGCTGATGGATCAATAATTAGCACCCAAGTCACAACCTCATCTTTGGTCGAAGCTGCCAGATGGGCCCCCTCCCCCAAAAGCCCTGGTCTGTAGTGTCCTACTCCTCCCTCCTCTCCTATCTAGCCTGTATCATATTTACTCGAGTATGAAACTTACCTCACCGAGGGAGACTGAAAACTCATTAAGTGCAACACCTCCCTCTAACTCGGGTGCTGATAATGCAGCCTATCTCTCTGACATTTCCCCCAACCGGAAGCTCCCCTGGTACCTCCCCGTTATCTCCACGATCTGATCAGTGTAACCCTCTTAATAGCCCTTCCTCCCTTTCCCATATAACTGCTTTTGGTGCGCATAACTCCTCTCCGCTCCAGCCCCGCTCTGATCTAAGGACTTCCTGCTGGTCCTTAAACAGGACATACTGTCTCCCAGATCTGGCCATTCTCACACCTGGAGTGCCCTCTCTCTCATCTGCCTCCGCCCCTCCCCCCCAGCTTCCTTTAAGACTTACTCCAGGACCCTCCCAGTGTGAGCACCTTCCTTCAGTAGCTCGTCTTCCACCCTTCATATGCTGCTATTGTCCTGCTGTCCCTCCCATCAGAATAGACCTTCCTGGAGGGTCCACACAATAGTTCCCAGTGCCTGACTCATAGTAAGCATCCTTGTTAACTAACTGGTCATCCAGCCTTTCCTCGAACCCACAACCTACAGAAGCCTCCCAATTGAGGCTATGTTTGCTTAAAGCACACATTCCAAGAAAGGGCGGCTCCCAGGTCCAGCCAAGGGAAACATGGGCTTCACAAAGATAAGCATTTAAAAAAAATGACCTCTCCCACAAGAAGCTTCAATGGCTCACTACTGCCTCTCCAAAAAGTGCAACCTCCTCTGCTTGGCCTTTAAACCCCTTCACAATCTGGTTCCAGTCTGCCTTTCCAGGCTGATTGCTCCTCACTCTCCTCCTCACTCAACTGTTCTAAAAACAACAGCAAAAGTCAGTCCCTGCTCTCTAGGAGCTCACAGTCTAATGGGGGTGGGAGAGAGGCTAATGTACAAACATCAAGGTACAGCGAACAGATACGTGAGGGATAAATTGAAGATAACTGTGGAGAGAAAGGCGATCAGGAAAGGCTTCTTGTAGGTGGTGGGATTTTAGCTGGGACTTGAAGGAAACCAGAGAAGCCTAGAGGCAGAGATGAAGAAGGGGGCAGCTAGGTGGCACAGTGCATAGAGCATCGGCCCTGCAGTTAGGAGGACCTGAGTTCAAATCCCGTCTCAGACACTTGACACTTACTAGCTGTGTGACCACGGGCAAGTCACTTAACCCCATTGCCTAGTAAAAAAACAAACAAACAAAAAAACAGATGAGGAGGGAGGGCATTCCAGGCATGGAGGACGGCCAGAGAGAATGCCCAGAGCTAGGGACGGATGGAGCGCCCTGTCTGAGAAATAAGAAGGCCTCTGCCTTTAAGATGCTTATAATCAAGAAGGCAGATAAGGTACAAAACAGATAACTATAATATACAACATTCCATGCCAAAAACATCAAAGAGAACAAAGAACCATGGGAGGTATGAAGAGAGAAAAGTGATTCCCAACCAGGCAGATCTGGGAAGGCTGCCAAGAGGATACAGCCTTTTGCAGAGGTCTTTTTTTTTTTAAGGGCAACCGGGGTTAAGTGACTTGCCAGGATGTTTCAGATACTGTCAAGGACCTGACATTTCCGGGTTAGAAGAAAAGGTTGGACAGGCGGGTGACAAATGGTTACAGAATGCCAACCCCTCAAATGCCAAGCAAAAGAATTTGAATTTTACTTTAGAGGCAACAGAGAGCCACTAAAGAGCTTGGCAGAGGAATCATAGGAACTGAAGAAGACTATTCTGGTAAAGTGACACATGAAGGACAGACTGGAGGTGGTATACAGCAGAGATGTGGAGACCTGGAAAAAGGTTATTACAATAATTTAATTAAAAAAACCTTCTCATTTAAAAAATTAGTCTAATTGGATGGTAACAAAGGTCTGGACTAGGGTAGTGGCAGTAGGGAAAGAGAGAAGGGAATGGATCCAAGAAATGGACCTGGGCATCTTTAGCCACGTCCCACCATGATCGCCAAATTCTAGCCCATAGACCTAGGCATTCAGCAATGGAGACGGGGATATCACAAGACCTGAGCACTGGACAAGACTCAATCATCTCCTCCAGGCTGGCCTCTTCCAAGGTCTGGGGAACTCCCGGAGAGGAGACAAATGTGGTACAGCGGATAGGACACTGGGCTCTGGACTCAAGATAGCCACTGAGGTCCTTTTAGTCCTGACTAGGATTCCTACAACCCCTTCCCCATCGGCAGAAAGACCCTGGCTGGACTTTGGGGACCTTTCAAATGTGTGGCCCCTAGACATGAGCATGATGGAAGATCCCTGCTCTACAGGGTGCAGGACTCTGCAGATACTCTCAGACTTGGCCAATGAACTACAGACTTTTGCAGAACCGGGTTTTTTTTCTCTTTTTGATTCCTTGTTCCATGACAGACTACATGGCAGAGACAAAAGCAGCCAGCCAGGAACCCCTGACACATATTAGCTGGGTGGCCCTTACCATCTCCGTTCTCTGGGCAAGAAGGGGCTGTCCCACACTGGCAGAGAGAGCTTCCTCATCTGGAAGTTTCCCCAGAGCATTTCCTATACCCACTCTTTGTGATGAGGAAAGGTTCTCTGGAAGTTGAGAGAGGGAGGGAGATATCAAGAAATGTAGGTGATGTAAAAACAAAAGATACAGAGGGAAAAAAATTAAAAGCAAGTAGACTAGGGAAGGAAACTCAGCCCCAAAAGAGGCTAACAGGCCTCAGAATCCAAACCCCTTCCCCACATTTAACAGATGATGACAAAATGAAGCCCAGAGGGGGAGCAATCAGCTCAAGATCACACAGCAACAAAGCCGGGACATTTGAACCAAGGCCCTTTGGCCCTCAAATCCAACAACACTCTCCTCCCACTCCAGCTGACCTTACCCACAACTGAGACGGGGGACAGAAGCCGAAACCACAAAGGAAGGAGATTAGCCTGGCTCTCTTCCAAAGGCGTCAGGTGGGATGAGAAACCCAAAAAATAACAAAGAGGGAAATACTGGAGGGAGAAGAGCAGGGGGCTGGGGGGTGGGGAACAGCTCAAGGCACAGGTTCCCTTCTCTGCCCCATCCAAGACAACCTTGCCTCTTACTCGCCTGAGAAGGCAGAGCTATTCCGAGCCCCCTCCTCTCTCTCATTCTATCAGTCAGAACCCGAAACATCTTCCTTTGTTCCAGTCTCCTACAAAGAAATGGCCCATCCCCAGCTAAGGCCAGCCCTGTACTTACGTCCTTGATCCGTGGCCCTCCAATTCCTCTGCGAGACTGTCTCCTTCTCTCCTTCCGCCTCTCAGCATCTCTCTTTATCTACTGGCTGCCTATAAGCACCCCCAAGTATTCCCATCCTCAAACAACAAAAACAATAAAACCACCCTTTATTTAACCCCACGCCCCACTCTCTCTTTCTCTCTCCTCCCTTTTCCAACTATTGACCAGCCCTTCCTTCTAGACACTCTCTCTTTCCCCCTTGGCTTTTAGGAAATTGCTTCTCCTCGTTCTCAATTCTGTTGCTAACGGAGTGAGGAAGAAAGGGGGTCTGAGCTTGTGAGGCCGGGTGACTGGAGGCAGTCCCTCACCCCCACTGCCAAGTCCACCTCCCGCCTCACAATCTTTTCCTTTCCCCACTCATGGTTCCCACCCTCTGGTCCAAGCTTCCTTCCCTTTCTTCCAGACCAATGCAATAGCCTCCTAATTGCCATCCTTACTTCCAAGCTCTTACTCTGTCTCTCTTTTCCAACCCATCCTCTTCCTAGATGACAAAATCGTCCTAAAGCACAGGTCAGGCCATGGCTCCCTATGGCTCCTAGGATACAATCTGAACTGTTCAGTTTGGATCAAGGATTTAGAGCTAGAAGGGGCCTTGGAGAACGTTGACTCCATTCTACAGTTGGTGAAACTGAGGCTCAGAGAGATGATTTGACCTACTTTAGGTCACACAGCTAGATGGCTCAGTGGATAAAGTGCTAGTCCTAGAGTCAAGAAG